GACGTCGGTCCATCCTTTGCAGCTATAACAGATTCAACTCTTCTGAGAAGGCTGTCCACAAGGTTTAGGAGTGTGTTAATGGGAATCTTTGACCATTCTTCCAGAAGCACATTTGTGAGGTCACACACTGATTTGGAAGGGTTTACGTGGCTGAGTTTGCTCTCATGGAGCACCTCGCTGTAGATGTACTTTTGGAAGTCCAGCTCCTCCTTCAGGGTCTGCAGGATGGTCTCCACATCTAACCGCTGCAGCGTTTCGTCCTGAAGCTGCTTCTTGATGTTGGCCAAGGCCATCTCCAACTTGGCCAGCTGGCCTCTGAGGTCACGGCCTTCAGTCTCCAGTTTGCACTTCTCCCCCAAGAGGCTGCTGAGTGTAGCCTTTTTGGAGTTGAATAGGGCCTCTACATCCTTCAGGCTGATCTCGGCAGTGAGCAGGTCTCCTTCCTTCTTGGCGTTCCTGACCCTGAAGTCCATGAAATCCTCGTGGACCTGGGTGAGGTCCAGCTGGAGCCGTGCACGCTCCTTGCCCACCGACTCTATCGTCTTGCATACATGGCACAGTTCAGTCTCGTTAGCCACCGTAATGCTGGACTGCTGACCTCCTCCGAGTTGGTGATGCGCAGCCATGCGTTCTCTGACTCCAGCGAGTGCACCTTGCCAATGTAGACGACCAGCCAGTTATTCAGATCCTGCTGCTCCTCCTTCTCCTGCAGGGGGGTGAGGCGGGCCTGTGACAAATGCATTGAGTTGTGGTTGCTGTGGTTCTGCCCGGCGTGCGTGTCCATGGCAATGGCAGCACGGTGGGTGAGGCTCTCCGTCTGCAGCAAATTGGTCAGCTTGCTCTCGAACTCCTGCTGCTGCCCGTTGTCAATTTCCACCAGGCACGTCTCATAACAGAGTTTGCTCTCACAGAGCTTCTCGCTAGAAGTCCAGCTCCTCCTTCAGGGTCTGCAGATTGGTCTCTGCATCCAACCGTTGCAGCGTTTTGTCCTAAAGCTGCTTCTTGATGTCGGCCAAGGCCATCTCCAATGTTTGCTCAGCTGGACATTTTGGGGTCCTCAAGACTCTGCATTTAGTAAATCGCCAGTTCTGGTGACCCCACGTGAAGAGGGACATAGAGGAACATATT